AGCACACTCTTTGTTATCTGAGAACCCAGTCAGAACTGAACTGTCCCAAGCCCTACAGATGAACTAGTTCCAGTTTGGCACGGTTCAATTGTGTCTGGCGTGGTCCATTCAGTTGTGCGTGCTCAGACCTTCGCACGGTTTCAAAAGGGTAGTGTAAATGAGGCTATTAACAGTGATGTAACTGAGCCTCTGTAGTGAATTTAGAAGTGGCTCCATAGAAGCACTTCCTCCAGTCTGTTTCAGTAACTAGGCCAATACAGTGTCATATCAATCATTCATTAATAATTGAAAAAGTCACAGTCTCTCCTTGATGAGACTGCATGTGATTAGATATGAAATTTCTTTCTCACTGATGCCTGTTATACAGGGGCGGAGCTATATGGGTGGGCCAGGGGTGGGCACCCTTAGCCAATCATGCAGCAGGAGCAGCAAAAACGCGTCTGCTGCTTCATTTTTTATGCTTGTACCAGTTTAGTTCTGACGCGCTGCTGAAGCAGCTTTGCTGCTCTGGCTGCGCGGTCGAAAAGTGGGCCTGACGCATGTTGGGCGGAGCTACCCTATCCTTTCTTTGCCCTGCAGCTGTATTTACTGTGATCAGTGGGAATAATGTAGTTTTAATATGTTTTTAAGTGGTAAAATCCACCTGAAAACTTAATCAGTGTAGTCAGTTCATCCAGATTATCATCCTGCCTCCTAATATTATTTCTGTCGGAGCCGCTCAGACCCCCACATACCGGCAGTGCGCTATCAGTAGGAATCCCATCCAACAGCAGCCTCTGGCCTGGTTGCCTACATTGCCGCGGCGGCTGGAAAGCGGTTTTCATGTACATAATCCAAACTGCAGGCACCAGGATAATAAAAGCGAACATGTTTTGCCGACAGGTTTCAGCATTTTTAGTTAATTTAGGCGTTAATAAATAGTTTCAGAGGAATGATCATAGTGATCTGTAGCATCTCTGATTGGTTGATGCACCGCGAGTTCAATTTTTCCATCTCAAGCAGCGGCACGGCGCGCGGGTCAGATGCTTAAACGCTCCCGACGCGCTGCTTCAGCTGCTGAGACGCGCTGCGGGACATTTTGCAGCGCCTTGATGCGCGTCAACCATTGATTTTCCATGTAAACTCGCTGCTCCTGCTGCGTTTGGTGTGAACGCAGCTTAATACAGATGGTGGCAGCAGCAATACTCTAAAGTGGAATGTTCAAAACATTTTAATTTTTCATATATTAACAATAACTTGACAACAAATACACTGAGGTTAATTATGCACATCAATATACTAACATTAAAGACGATAAGTATGGAATTTATCCACTTTTCAGAACTAGATTTTGTTTTATATGTGGTAAAGAGAAAAGGATGTGTCTCTGCAAGTCATCTAGGAGTCTTCAATGAAATCATAGATAAATAACTATATTAATAAAAAACTTATTATATAATCAATTTATGTAGATATCAATTTTATGCAGAGTGATTATTGATAGAAGTAGGTAAGTAATGACAATAGAAAAGATATTTGCCCCAGAACTTAGACCTGAAAGATTTTTATTCACTATACCTTTTATCTAGAAAGCACGGATTTTTTAATTTTTTATTAGCAAAAGGATGTAGGAAAGTATAGTTTGTCTTGATTTAGAAAATATGGACGTGCTCATTAATTTTCCTATTGGAACTGTGTAGATTGACCTTGAGGTTCTGGTGCCGATCCACTTTCGGCCCCCCTTCAGTGTACTTTGGTTATTGCCTGGCCACCCTTATAAAAATGTTCTGGCTACGCCTCTGCTGTCATAAAGAAAAACATGGTGTCCTAACCCATTTCATACACTCTTGATGTAAATACAACCCTTTTCCTTTTCCTCTGTGACACATCAAACATGTCACATCACATCTACAGCTTTACACTCTCGTTCAGACACAGGAAGGACACCGCCTACCATGTTTATTTGGATCCCAGAGGCATTTCTACATCAATCTGATCATCTCATGGTTTAATTGTTCGCTGTCACCTGAGCTGCTTTGCTATGTCTGTTATTTGTGCCGTAAGAAAGACGTTTCTGACCCTTTTCCTTCTGAGTCATCTCTTTAGTGTTTACGATGAAGGTTTGCTCACTTCATGTTGTAAAATGACAGAAGTGACAGCAGTTCAAACCAGTTATACCTCAGCTGTCAACCCCATAAACAGCCTTAATAAATAATCCATGAATGAATTTCACAGACAAGCGGAGCAAGATTCATAACAAGAATCAGAAGCACAAATGATCTGAACTATGCTTTATTTTCTTTTATATCAAGATGATTGATTTCTGTCGCATTTCAACAAAAATTAAAAATCTGCTTCTCTGTCGGAAAATAATGAACGCTGAAGAAACACAGAAGGAACAGAACTTGATTAGCAAAGTAGCCTTTCAAAATCGAACTAAAGAAACGTAATCAAACTGTTGTAATTTGATTGTGAACTAAATATACTTAAAAACTACAGAAGGTTTCTCAAGGGTCTAAAACACTCTGTGCTCCTCTTTTTATTATCCTATTCAAACATTTCCAGATCAAATGCAGTATCAGACGAAAGTAACCTACATCAAAGTCGAAATACAGTAAATAAACCATGATTTCAGTTGTTTGGTCAGAGAGGATCAATCACATAGAAACTGAAGTGAACTCAGAGACTCAGAAACACCAACAGGTTAAAACGTACGACAAGTGCGCATCAGCAAACCTCCAACCTCACACCAAAGTGGGATCCAGTGTGACACAATGTAAAACAGTGTTAAACAGACTGATGCAGTGTTTTAAGGTGTAATACAGTGAAATACAATGTAACCTAATGAAATACAGTGTGAAACAGTGTGATGTAGTGCTGTACAGTGTAATGCAGTGTGATACACCGTGATACAGTGTGACCCACAGTGTAATACAGCGTGACAAAGTATGACTCAGTATGACTCAGTATGCAACAGTGTGACACTGTGTGCCACAATGTGACAAAGTGTGACAGTGTCACACAGTGTGGCAGTATGACAGTGTGATGCAGTGTGATACACTGTGATACAGTGTGACCCACAGTGTAATACAGCGTGACAAAGTATGACTCAGTATGCAACAGTGTGACACTGTGTGCCACAGTGTGACAAAGTGTGACAGTGTCACACAGTGTGGCAGTATGACAGTGTGATGCAGTGTGATACACTGTGATACAGTTTGACCCACAGTGTAATACAGTGTGACAAAGTATGACACAGTGTGCAACAGTGTGACACTGTGTGCCACAGTCTGAAATAGTGTGACACTGTGACACAGTGTGGCTGTATGACAGTGTGATGCAGTGTGACATAATTTGACACATTTTGTGGCAGTGTGACAGTGTGAGACAGTGTGAGACAGTGTGACAAAGTGTGCAACAGTGTGATATAGTGACACAGTATGACA